CAACCACAGCCACATGCAGAGCTGTCCATCATGATGACCTCTGGGACTGTCTGGCTCAAAGTGGTGAGAGGATCCAGCAAGATTTCCCGTCTAAATGATGGCTCAGCTCTGTTCTTCTGGCAAGAGGCAGTGAGTAAGATATACAACTTCTCTGAACTGGGTCAGAAGTTGTGCATGCCTGATTCATGGATGGGCAAGTTTCCAATATCAACTGCCAAATGAGCAGAAACATATTTTGGAACTTGAGTTCTGATTATGTCAGGCATCGGGTAAGAAAAACCATCTCAAAAAGAAGGAAAGTTGAAAAACAGATCTTGTTTTTAATTAAAGAGTGTTTAATTGAGGGAAACAAAAAGATACAATATGTTTTCTACATTAATAAGACTTGTGGAAAAGAAAACAGAACCCAGATGATCCACTATTAAATGAGAATAGGGGTGAAGAGGGGGAAAATAGAAAAGAAAGTACTAAATATGCAAGTATATATTTAAGAGAGAGATACAAAGGGGAAAAAACATAGTTAGGATAGATTAGGGAAGGTAAGGGAATAAGGAATGATACTAAATTATATTTGGGTTTGCAACATCCCAAGAAAACATAAACTGAGATTTGAAATAGACACCTATAACAACAGAAAAAGAACGGGAGAGAGGAGGAGAGAACGAGAGGAAGAGAAGGGAAGGAAAAAAGAGGTAAAGAGAGGAGGGTGGAAGGGAGAAAAGGAGAGAGGATAGGAAGAGTAGGGGAGAGATAAGGGAAGAAGGAAGGGGGAAAGAGAGGAGGAAGGAAGGAAGTAGAGAAGAGAGGGAGGGAAAAAAGAAAGGGAAAGTAAGATGGTGTTACAACAGGCGGAAGGGATGGTAAATAAAGCAACCCAAACTGTATATTATTATTATATATTATTATGACCTATTAAATGGAATAACAAATGTATAAGAATGACAAATGTAAAGAAGAATAACAATTATGTGAATGTATACTTACAATGGTATGTAAGAGAATAAAAAAATTAAAGAAATTAATCTAAAAGAATTGTGGAAAAGAAGTAACNTATCTATCTATCTATCTATCTATCTATCTATCTATCTATCTATCTATCTATCTATCTATCTATCTATCTAAATGAATCCAGCTGAACCAATTATCTGTATGTTCTTTCTGGATTTGAATTTATGCAAAAAACTTTGACAGAATATTCATGCGGCATAGTTCATTTCATACTTGAAGAAGACACCTACTTCTTTGGAGAGAATTTAATAAAAAAAATTTAAAAATCCCCAAATAAAATATTAAGATAACAGAAGGAATTCCCATAAGACAACTGTGATATTATATACCAAAATAGCAATGCTACACATTTGAGTTTTCATTCTAATCGTACATCAACATGCATTCATGACTTACTCAGAAGAACACAGTGGAGATGGTACATCTAGGAGTGTTTGTGTTTCTACTGCTGAAACACATCTTGAGTGTATGCCTGAACAGAACTTCTCAAGTTTGACTGACATATGTCATTAGCAAGTTCTGGACGTTCTTATTATATCTTAAGAGGTAGGTGAGAACAGTAGTATCCCATTTAGCCCAATAGTAAACGATAATATACAGTTAGATGGAGCAATATTTAGAAGCGGTTGCTATTGATGGGAGAAACCAATAACCACAATGAAAGTTTGCATTAATTTGTGTTCATCTTATACCTAGCCTGCATCCTACAGTGATTTTGAAGTAGAGACGGACATGGGTTTAGTCAAAGGACATGCCTATTCAGTGACATCTATCCTGAAAATGTCTGTTGGAAAGAAGGGCCTGTGCAGTGGAAAGTCTAAGAAACTCTTTATGATCCGATTAAGGAATCCTTGGGGAAACAAGGAGTGGAATGGAGCATGGAGTGATGAGTAAGTAAGCCATACTTTAAGGATGAGAAGCATTAGAACCAAGATCACAAGAAGTGTTAACACCACTTTCTAATGCCTTGGTAAGACCAGACTTGGAATACAGCATCCAATTTTAGTCACCACGGTGTAAAAAAGATATTGAAACTTTATAGAAAGAGCACAGAGAAGTACAAGATGAGAAGAGGGCTAGAGGCTAAAACATATGAAGAACAATTGCAGGAATTGGGACTCTGGTCTAGTGAAAAGAAGGACTAGGAAGTGATAGGATAACAGTGTTCCAATATCTCAGGGGCTGCCCCAAAGAAGAGGGGGTCAACTTGTTCTCCAAAGCAGCTGAAGGCAGGACAAGAAACAATGGATGGAAACTAATCAAGGAGAGAACCAACCTAGAACTGAGGAGAAATTTCCTGGCAGTTAGAACAATCAAACAGTGGAATGACTTGCCACATGACTTGTGGATGCTCCAACATTGGAGGTTTTTAAGAAGAGATTGGACAGCCATTTGTCCAGAATGGTATAGGGTTTCCTGCTTGGGAAGGGGGTTGGGCTAGAAACTCCAAGGTCCCTTCCAACTGTGTTATTAGTTTCTAGCTTTGAATGAATTACAAGGGCCTTGTAAAGTTACTTGCCAACATGAATGGAAATATTTAGATGTGGAAACAAAATAAAAAACCTGCCAGTTTAAGATATCAAAAAAGGGGAGAATACAAGTCTATTAATTTTCTTTAATGGCTATGATGAAGGAATGAAAGAATACTTACCGGTAGATATTTACAGAAGACACAAAGACTGGATAGATATTGCAAATGGTAGAAAATGGGAGAAAGTCAAAATGTTCTTAATGAGTTAGAGAAGACGCCTGGAAAAAGCAGAATGAAATTCAATATCTGAAAATTCTCCACTTGGGAAACAAAAATATGGTAATGTAGAGGATGAGAGGTGGAAAAAATCTGGAAAGTGTAAGTAGACTCCAAACTGAATATGAACCAGTTGCATGATATGACTGCTAAACAAAATGCAATTTCAGAAACTCTCAACAGAAGTAGTTTAAATTAATTGTTCCGTCAAATTCTCCACTGCTTAACACCAACTGAAGTAGCTGGGTCGAGACTTGGGTATGGCATCTTAATAAAAATTCTGAAGTTCAGTTTTTCTAAATTTTCTTAAAATGCCATACCCAGGTCTGGAGACGAGTACTTGAGTTGCTGTTAAGCAATGGAGAATTTGACCCCACAATTACCGTAATTTAATTTAAACTCATCTCAACTATCTTTGAACATTAGATACAAAGAAAAGCCGAAGATTACATTTTATGAGAAGATAGAAGGATTTGTGTCAGTTCAAACTGCAGATATACATTTTTTCATCAACTTAGCCAAGTTTATCCAAGTTTTAAAATTTATTTTTTTCCTGTCAGCTCTCATTCAGGGTCAGGCTTTTGATAGCCCACTGGGGGGAAAAAAACAAGTTTTTCCCTAGATTCCTTTTAGAAAGTTTATTGGAGAGACTGGGCTCAAACTGCAGAAATTTCAGCAAATGCATTACTTTCACTTTTAGAGACCAAGAGACTAAGCAAAAACTTAAGTCCATCTAAGAGGAAATGTAAGTCCATCACCTTGAGAATGAATTTTTTTAAAACTTGCTTTCAAAGGAGGAAAAATAATTGAGAAATTGCTCCAAAGTTTTGGAATAGCACCTCTGGCTAAGGGAAACAAAAGAATACCAGTTAGAAGGTTATCTTTCTCAAAAACCTTTGAGAAGGAGTCAAAGTAGGCTGGGTTGTCCACAACGCACCACTAATGTACACTAGATGCTCTTGTATTTTAAAAAATGGATAAAATGGGTGTTTAACTTTTTCCCCTTTCTTTCTCTTAGATCCGATGAATGGAAGAAAGTGACCAAATCAGAGCGCACAAGATTAGGCCTCACCCTTGAAAATAATGGAGAATTTTGGTGAGCTCAGTTAATCCATGTCCATGTCATGTTTAGTTTTGCTTCTAATAATCCTTAGTGGTGGTGTCTTCTCTACAGAAGAAACTATTTTTTCCTGGTACAAATTCCCATCATTCATTCATTCATTCATTCATTCATTCTCTTCTATGCTATTCAACATCTAATTGCACAGAGCAGTAAACATAGGAAGAAATAAAGAATCAGAAAATTCAAAATTTCAACACTCAACAGCATGTCTTATAATGATACTAACCAACTTGACTATATTCTCACTCATAACATCCCTTGAATGTTCTCTCCCCAAATCCATCTTTTAATTTTGTTCCAGGAACACATCTGGGAGGAGGTAATTCAATATATAAGTGGAAGCTGTTTCATTAAAGTAGGACACCATTCTTGAGACGAATCTGCTGTGGGACTCCTTTGGAGATAGTATCTTCATCAAGATCTCTCCCAAATCTTACCAGATGGGAAGATTTGGTGGAGAATAGGTAGCCTCAAAGATGGCTCGACCTTGAGCCATGTAGGGTTTTAGTATTTAGTTATGTAGGAAAAAATAAAATGACCTGGCATATAATCCTAGTGTCAGGCCTACAGCCATATTCCTCTTGGATCTTAGGCCTGCTACACTTTCTATTATTTTATTATGCCTATTTTCTATTGTGGGAAAATGGGAGAGGAGATTGTACAGAGTTAGATGCTATGTAGCCATAACAAAATTCTTTCTAGAAAGCCAAGGTCACCCTTTGACTCAGCACCTCTGCACCTGACCGGAACTGGATGGGTGGAACTGCCGGCATGGTCGAGGACTACCGGTAGAACATTACTCTGGTCAGATGCATAAAACCAAGTTGGTCTATTCTTTAACTTTAGTCAANTTGGCTTTGAAACAGAGATGAGCACTGCCCCCTAGAGTCAGGAACGGCTAGCACATAAGTGCAAGGGGAATCTTTACATGTACCTTTAATGGATAACTTCAATGTAGGTTTATTTGAGAGGGATGTTTTTCTTCTTTCATTAAGAGACTGTTGTGATTTCCTTTTATGTATATAGATTTTACTCCAGCAATAAGCCAATTGAGCTGGCTCATCAATGAATGTTTTCTGTCCTATGTTTGCAGCATATTTTCAGTTTCTTTGCATACTTTAGGTCATCCCAACCATTAAGGAACAGGACTGGGATCAAAAGAGACCGGAGAAATACGCTGGAATCTTTCACTTCCATTTCTGGTGTTTTGGAGAATGGATTGATGTGGTTATAGATGATCGGTTGCCAACCATAGACAATAAGTTGATCTACTGCTCTTCTAAAGAGTCCAATGAATTCTGGAGTGCACTTCTGGAGAAAGCTTATGCAAAGTATGTGGTGATTAATGAGGTATAAGTGCAGTTTTATCACCCATGCAAATAAGATTTCTTAGTATGGGGATATTTGTAGTCATTGGTCTCTTCTACAAAGACCTTGAAGTAGGTTCATACTTGTCAGAGTTTGTTGCATAAATTCAAATCCACAAAGCACACATACATAACTGATGCAGCAGGATTCATTAACTTCTTTATATATATATAAGAACAGGTTTACTTCTCAGAGCAGCAGACTGCTTTTTTGTTAAGTTTCTGTTTCAACTCTCTGCACAGACTCTGATTTGCTTAAGCTCCCATTGGCTGACTTAGTTGCTATGCCTATTAATTGGCTGACCTTGTTCCCATGTCTCTCCCAGTCCTGTATATTTTAACAATACTACTACTTCCCCATTTCAGATCCATTTCAGTATAAAGAACATAGGGTTTTAGAAGAGAATTGGATTAAAAGAGGGTCAATACTGCTGGCAAAGCAAACAAATAGCTATACTATTATATTTTCATGGCAGTTCATTACATCATTACTTCCATAACTATGTAGATATAGAGATTTACATTTGGAAGAACAGTTTGGCAGTTAAGAGAAGGTGGCAGTGAAAGTAGTCCTGAGGTTTTCCAAAATTCATTTGAAGCTCCACACACTATTGTCTCGTCTGTTGTGTGAGAACCCCTGGAGAGTTCAAGAAGGTCAAGTGTAGTTCAGAGGTGGTATTCGGCAGGTTCTGACCAGATCTAGACAACAAGTAGTGGAAATTTTGAATAGTTCAGAAAACTGGTAAAAACCACCCCTGGTTGGCCATGCCCCCATCTACTCTCTGCCTCCTGAGTCCCAGTTGATCAGGAGGGAATGGGGATTTTTCAGTATCCTTCCCCTGCCATGCCCACCAAGCCACACCACGCCCACCAAGCCATGCCCATAGAACAGGTAGTAAATTTTTATGTCTGAAACTCTGCATCATGTCTTCTCTAGGATGGCAGGTTGTTATGAAGCCTTGGATGGGGGCAGCACAGCTGAGGCGATTGTCGATTTCACAGGGGCCGTAGCAGAATCCATCAACTTGATTGATGGTAAATATGACCACAGTATCATCGAGCAGGTGAAACTCTTTAGAGAATTGCTGAAAGTTCATAAAAGGGGAGGATTGATCAGCTGCTACATCATGGTAAGTGCACCGAGAACAAGCTGTGATGTGCCCTTTGGTCTGTGTTTAACTCTTTATCAAACTGTCATTTCCCATAAGGTAGATCAGACTAGGCAATCAATTCCCTAGGAAGGCTAAAGTCTCTTTATTGAGATTGGCTCTAATACAGAATTTTGCAAGTCTGGTTGTGCTATATCTTCTCCCCCTTCTTATACTCAAGCGAACCAGGAAGGTGTCTACCTGAGCCACTTCCAAATGTTATCTATTTCTCTGGACTTAAACAAGTTTCAGTCCTTTTGGCCTGTATATCTCCATCATGGTGATCTTCCTTACCCTCTCCACAAACTCAAGAAAAGAGGCAAGATGACAGCCTGTTCATTCTGCCAATTAATCTCTGGATTTGCCAGAAGGATAGAAGTCCCAAGTGAGGTAAACAAATAATAAACCCAGTTATCAAATAGGTCTCTATGATAGCATCCAGAAATCCACCAAGCTGTAGACCTCCAATGCCACAGTAACATGTTACTGTGAATCAAAAGTTGTGAATGCTCCAACACTGGACGTTTTTTGTCTGAAGTGGTGTAAGGTTTTCTGCTTGAGCAGGGGATTGGACTAGAAGACCTCCAAGGTCCCTTACAACTCTGTTATTTTATTCTATCTCCAAAGAAAAATCAGAAAGTCCAGTTGCCTCTTGAAAAAGCACCTTTGGGACACGACCTGGACAATTGAGAATCTCCATAGACATTTATTACCAATTGTTATTCAATTGGATGAGATATTTTGGCTTGGACAATTATGTCCAAGAAAAAAAGAGAAGAGAAGAGAAGAGAATGTCTGTGAAAAGCTCATGGGTAGAGTGTGGAGATCTTGCACCTTTTAGGGACAAAGTGTCTAAGGGCTTTGCCCAAATGTCCCATCTTTCTTTATATAGTCATTCTCCAGTGGTGACTTCTCCAATTGAGCTTTTTCAAACAGTATTACAATCAAAATAAAAGGGAAGCCCATCCTTGGAAAATCACTAGGGAGTTTCTTCAGACAAATCCTTTATCTAATTTGTCTGTGCACAAGTTGAGTGGACTCAAAATTGCTAGTTGTAAATGACTTAATTTCCCCCAAATCACCTCAATCCAAATTGCCTTCTCCAGTGCCACAAAATTCACTGAAAAAGGGTTTCAAGAGAGATTCTGTGTAGCCAATCTGGCCTTTTCCACTATCTTCTCCACAAAAGTTTTTATGGGAATATAAACTTGGAAGGGACGCGGTGGCTCGATGCCTAAGATGCTGAGCTTGTCGATCAGAAAGGTCAGGAGTTTTGCAGTTCAAATCCCTGCACCATGTAACGGAGTGAGCTCTCGTTACTTGCCCCAGCTTTTGCCAACCTAGCAGTTTGAAAGAACGTAAAAAATGCAAGTAGAAAAATAGGAACCATCTTTGGTGGGAAGGTAACAGCATTCTATGCACCTTTGGCGTTGAGTCATGACGGCCATATGACCAGGGAGACATCTTCGGAAAGCGCTGGCTCTTCAACTTTGAAATGGAGATGAGCACTGCCCCCTAGAGTCAGGAACGACTAGCATGCTTGTGTGAGAAGAACTTTTACTTTTGGAAGGGACAACAGGGAAGCTAGAGTGATATTGCGATAAGTTGAGAATGCATCACAGAATGTCTCCAGATCTCCTGCAATGGATGGGTNCCCTGTTGATGATGTCAGCGACACGGTTTAATCGGGCGCGGCTTAGTCGAGCACGGTTTTGACGGGTCACGATCAGCCTGCACAAGGCTTTAGTAACAGTTGCTTCCCTACCCATTGCTTGTCTGTTTTCATAGCAGTTTTGCCTATAACTTCTCTTTCTCCAGTATATTTTTGATGTTAAGAAGGTGGAAGACAAAGTCTTGATCTCGCTACAACAGAAGGACCAACGGATTCACCGGAAAGAAGGGGCAGGAGATAATCTTGTTATTGGCTTTGAAATTTTCAAGGTAGGTCTCCATCCAACTGTACTCAAAACAATTGCTCTGAAAGTTGATGTATCATGTATCTTATATTTTTATTTTTATTGTTATTCCGTAACATCTGTCTTCATGTACAGGTAGACCTCACTTAACTAGCACCCGTTCAGCAACTGAAGTTACAAAATTACTGAACAAATGGGAGTTATGAGTGGTCCTTGAAGTTCCAGCTGTTGCAGTGTCCCTATAGTCACATGTTTGTGACTTGGGCTCTTGGCAATCAGTGTGCAATTACAATAGTTACTGCACAGTCATATGATTACCAGTTGCAACCTTCATTGCTGGCTTCCAGCAGGCAAAGTCAATGGGAAAACTGGCAGGAAATTGTAAGTTGTGGTCATGGGATCTCATGATTTGTGACCATACAGGATTTGCTTAACAAAGCAACCAGAACTGTCATTATAAATTATATGATTTCTGCTCATATGTGACAGCATACAAAATCTTTGCCAGACCAATTCTCGAATACAGCTCATCTGCCTAGAATCCACACTGTATATCAGACATTAATACAATTGAATGGGTCCAGAGATACTTCACGAAAAGAGTCCTTCACTCCTCTGCTCACAATAGAATCCCTTACAACAGGCTTGAAATTGTGGGCTTGGACAACCTGGAACTATGCTGCCTATGGTCTGCCCTAAGCATAGTACACAAAATTACTGTATTTTTCAGAGTATAAGATGCACCGGAATATAAGAGGCACCAAGGTTTTGAAGATGAAAATGACGTCCCCAAAATGGTCCATTTTTCGCGAAAATGGGCCCGTTTTTTTTTTAAAGGCATTAATAGCCTTTAGGAGGCTTGTAGAGTGCTCCTAGGGGATGCCCCCCCAAAATGAGCAAAAAAATGGCCTGTTTTTCACAAAAACGGGCCCCTTTTTTGTAAAAAAAAAAAATGCATCCGTAGCCTTTGGGAGGCTTATAGAGTGCTCCTGGGGGCTGGGGGGGAGCAAAATTGAGCAAAAAACCCCACCCATTGTTTGTTCATTTCTGCCCTCCCCAGCCCTAGGAGCACTCTGAAAGCCTCCTAAAGGCTCTGCATGGCCATTTTGGTGAAGGGATGTGGTTTTGGGAGGCAAAAAATGCTGTATTTATTGCATAAAATGCACCCAGATTTTCAACCTCTTTTTTGAGAGAAAAAGCTGCGTCTTATACTCTGAAAAATATGGTATCTGCTACAATGTCCTACCTGTCAATGACTACTTCAGCTTCAACCTCAATAATACACAAGCATACAATAGATACAAACTCAACCGCTCCAAACTCGATTGCAGGAAATATGACTTCAGCAACAGAGTGGTCAATGCCTGGAATGCTCTACCTGACTCCATTGTTACATCCTCAAACCCCCACAGCTTCAATCTCAAACTGTCTACCATGGACCTCACCCCATTCCTAAGAGGTCCATAAAGGGGGTGTGCATAAGTGCACCAATGTGCCTATCATCCCTGTCCTACTGTCCCCATGTATCTGTGCTCGTTTCCTTGTTTATATCCATGTTTATACTTATATTTGTTACCTTATACAGGTAAATAAATAGAAATACAAATATAGAATTGCCAGTTCCATTTCTCATAATTAATCAAGGGTGAGTTATAAGGTTGTTCTCCCATAGATTTGCATCCAGTTTTGGTCACTGCAATATAAAAAAAGATGTTGAGACTCCAGAAAGATAGCAAAGAAGAGCAACAAAAATGATTAGGGAGCTCAAAGCTAAAACATATGAAAAACAGTTGCAAGAATTAGGTATGTCTAGTCTAGTGAAAGGAATGACTAGGGAAGATATGATAGCAATGTTCCAATATTTGAGGGGCTGCCCCAAAGCACCTGAAGGCAGGACAAGAAGCAATGGAAGAAAAGTAATCAAAGAGAGAAGCAACCTAGAGCTAAGGATAACGTTTCTGACAGTGAGAGCAATTAACCAGTGGAAGCGCTTGCCTCCAGAAGTTGCAAGTTCTCCAACACTGAAGGTTTTAAAAAAGAGTTTGGAAAACTGAAGTGGTATAGGACCGTGATGGTGAACCTATGGTGCACGTGCCACAGGTGGCACGGAGTGCTATTTGTCAGGGCACACATGTGCGCGCTGGCCAGCTGACTTCTGCCTTCTTTTGATGCCATTTTTCACCCTCTGGAGGCTTCCTTGAAGCCTCCGGAGAGCGAAAAACCAGCCCTATGGGCAAACTGGAAGTTCAGGAATGTACTCCTGGTTTGCTCATAGGACCGGTTTTAGCCCTCTGGAGCCTTCAGGGGCCTTCAGGAGGCTTCTCTGAAGGCTCTGGAGGGCAAAAAACAACCCTATGAGTAAAACCCTATGGACAAACTGGAAGTCACTTCAGGAGGTTTCTCTGAAGGCTCCGGAGGATGAAAAACGCCCTTACAGACAAACCGGAAGTCCATTCCTGAACTTCCAGTTTGCTCATAGGGCCAGTTTTTCGTGCTCCAGAGGCTTCAGGCCCCTGAAGCCCCTGGGGGGGTGGCGGCTGTTTTTGCCCTCTTTTAGCCTCTGGAGCCTGGGGAGGGCGAAAAAAGCACTCCAAAAATGGGGAGAGTGCTCCCCTCACTTTTGGCACATGAGCCAAAAAAGGTTCGCCATCACTGGGCTAGGATCTCCTGCTTGAGTTGGACTAAAAGTTCTCTTCCAACTCGAGATTATGTTTCTTTTATTCCTTGAACAGCAGCTGAGCTTAATTGTTGGAATCCAGATGAAAATAGCCTTTAAAAAGCCAAGTCCTTTGTGAAAGATAACATGCCACACCTACATTTCTTTTCTAACCTTAGGTGGAGGATAATCGAGACTATCGCTTGCACCAGTTGAAAATACAAGAGAGGATAACTAACTTCACCTACCTGAACAATCGCATCGTGCATTTAAAAATGCTTCTCAAACAAGGCCGATATCTTTTGATCCCAACCACTTTTTCTCCAAACACTGAAGGGGAATTTATTCTGAGGCTCTTCACAGATGTTCCATCAGCACTCAGGTACGACTTCAACTTCTGGCAATGGGGCTTTGGTTTTTCTCACCCCCACTTTTGCTAGCCTTCACTGAAACTTCCCAACATTTGATGAAGGAAGACTGACCCAATGCATGAAGGAAGCAAGATAGTCATGGAGTTATGTGGAACAAGATGAACGCTCCAGGCCCTTCGGTGGTGATGACACTTTGGGTCTGTCATGATGAAAACAGTATGCATTGAGTTCCTGCAGTTTTCCCACATAACGGCACTGCTCCATATTGCAAACTAATCAGTGGTAATTGGGTATATAGCCAGGTCAGTGATGGTGAAACATTCAGTGCCCAAACTGGAATGTGCGTGCCTGCATGTGCCTGCATGCTCCAGCCAGCTGGTCTTCGGGTTTCCAGCACATACATGCATGCTGGCCAGCTGGTCTTCGTGGGTGCAAGAGCACCAGAAACCATCTGGCTGGCATGCACATTCTTGTTTTGGGGGCGTTTTCAGGCTGTTTTCCAGGCTGTTTTCAGGCCATTTGTGGGGACATTTTCAGAGCCATTTTTGGCCTGAAAAATGACCCAGAAATGGCCTGGAAAATGGCCCCAAAAACAGTCCATAACCGGCCTGTTTTTTGGCTGTTTTTGATCATTTTTCAGGCCATTTTCAGGTGGTTTTCCAGCGCTCTGGCACCCACGAAGAATCAGCTGGCCAGAAACCAGAAGAGCAGCTAGTGATGGCACACATGCCCACAGAGGGGGCTCTGCGTGCCACCTCTGGCACATGTGCCATAGGTTTGACATCATGGACCTAGGTGATACCATGGAATGATGACCATTGTTAAAGTTCATCATCCATACCGTATTTTGGTTATAATTTTTATCATCATAAATAACTATCTAGTGACAATATCTGGGGTGACTGATAAAGGCAAATATTTGTAGCTCAGGGCTGAAATGAGGCATCCTTCGTGCTCTCTGACCTTGGTTGTTTTCTTGCAGACCCAGTTTCATCACCCAGCTAGGTAATATCATCAGTCCTAGTGCAAGTTCAGTGAGCACCAAAGACCCCTAATATCTGGGGTGACTCCAAACAATGAACTAAAACGAAACCATTAAAGTATGGTGTATCATTTAGCAAATTTTATTTTTAGCCCAGTATATATTAATTGATATTAACAATCCTGGCTAATCCTTGGCTTGAACTAGGCCAGTGATGGCAAACCTTTTTGGCACCTAGTGCCAAAATACATGTGCATGTCTGTGTGCACGCTGGAGTGCTGGAAACCTGAGTACCAGTTAGCTGGCCCGCTCATGCCTGGGTTTTGGGCATTTGGGTGGCATTTACAGGCTGATTTTCAGCTGAAAAATGGCCTGAAAACGGCCAAAAAAACCAGCCTAGAAAATGGCCCATAAAACATCCCAGATCATGCCCCCAAAACAACCCAGAAGACAGTCTGAGAATGCCCCCCCAAATGGCCCTAAAACGCCCAGAAAATGCTCCCCAAAATGGCTCATTTGGGGGGCGTTTTTCGCGCTGTTTTCTGGCATTCCAGCACCCACGAAAACCCACTGGTCTTCGCAGGCAGGCATGTGCACACCAGAAACCAGAAAAGCAGCTGGCGATGGGACATGTGCCCACAGAGAGGGCTCTGTGTGCCATAGGGTCGCCATCACAGAACTAGGCTATAAAGTTCCGATGGAATGTACATAGCTACTACTCTTTCTTTCCAACCGACATACCTATTTCACTTTGATATTTCAGGGAGCTGAAACTGAACAAACCCAGACTGTCTTGTCTGGATATCCTGCTGGGTGTCCCTAAGAGGATGTCCCTCGTTAAGGTCTACAGGGTGGAAGGACTCCAGAGTCAAAACCGTCATGGGGGTAAGTCCTGCCAAAATGCTTTCCAAGCAATGGAAAGTTGAGTGAAGCCAAAATCAAAACATTCATTCCTTTACTGCTAGTGCCCATCTGTGGTTCGCTGAAGGAGTTATTGCTTAGCTACACCCAGTGCAAAATTTTCAAAGGACTAACCATTTAGGACTCTCCATGCTTGTGTTGGAAGAAAGGTCCTTCTGGATTCAGTTCCAAGTGGGGGGAAAAGACACTGGAAACATGGAAGCCGCTTGGAAAGATGGTTTTAATGATGGACAGGACCACATGGTTTGAGGTCCTGAACAGAAAAGAGGAGGAGTGGCTGAGAGTGCCCTGGTTTTATGCCCTTTCTGGGTCCCACCCCAGAACTTACCGTTCCTGTGTAAGAAATGCATTCTGATTGGTTGTCAGACTCCCGGGCCGGGGTGGGTGGGTGTCTTAGGTAACTTTGTAGGCTCTCCTGAAACCCAAGCTTCTTTGCCTTGCTGGCTGATGTAATTTTCCCAGGTGCCTTGTGGTGAATTTCTGTTTGCTAGATGGGTCTGCCTGAAGGGGGTAGATCTTTGTTATGTAGGATAGTCTTGCTCAGGCCTTAGTGGTCCATTGACAAAGGTGGTGGGGGAGCTGAGTTTCTGCTTCCCTTTTAGAGGAAATATTCTGCCCTTTTAATACTTCCTAAAATATTTCATTTTCTAGCAGAAGGGTGAGTTTTAACTTCCTACAATCCCACTTACGATGGTCGATGTAATGCAGAAGAAGCATGTGGCCATTTCAGTGATTTAAAATATAGAAAAATAGGATTAGAAGGGACCGCAAAGCTTTTCTAGTGCAACTCTCCTGCCTATGGCAGGAAATCCTATGCCATTCTGGACAAATGACTCTTCTTGAAAACTTTATGAACCCATAACTTCTGGAGGCAACCTGTTCCGCTGATTAATTGTCCTCACTGTCAGGAAATTCTGCCTTAGTTCCAGGTTGGTCTTCTCTTTAATCATCTTTCACCCCATTACGTCTTGTCCTACCTTCAGGTGCTTTGGAAAATAGGTCAACCTCCTCTTCTCTGTGACAGCCCCTCAAGTACTGGAAGACTTCTATCATGTTAGACTTAGTCCTTCTCTTTGTTAGACCAGACATATCTACCTCCCTCAATTGTTCATCATATGGTTTCGCTTCCAGATCCATAATCAACTTGGTTGGCCTTCTCTGCACTTTTTCTAGAGTCTCCACATCTTTTTGATGTTGAGAATAATTTGTAGTGTGATGACTGTCTATCTGGAACCCGCATTGCATATCAGACATTAATACAATCGAGCGAGTCCAGAAATATTTCATGAAAAGAGTCCTCCATTCCTCTGCTTGCAACAGAATCCCTTAACACACCAGAATTGAAATTTAGGGCTTAGACAACTTAGAACTATGCCACCTTTGGTCTGACTTGAGCATAGTACATAAAATTATTCGCTACAATGTCCTACCTGTCAATGACTACTTCAGCTTCAACTGCAACGATACACAAGCACACAATAGATACAAAATCAAGGTAAACCATTCTAAACTCGATTGCAGAAAATATGACTTCAGCAACAGAGTAGTCAACGCCTGTAATGCACTACCCGACTCTGTGGTTTCTTCCCCAAACCCACAAAACTTTAACCTTAGACTGTCTACTGTTGGCCTCACTCCATTCCTAAGAGGTCTGTAAGGGGTGTGGATAAGCGCCCCCAACATGCCTACTGTCCCTGTCCTAATGTTCCCTTTTATTTGTATCCATGTATTCATAATCATGTTTATACTTATATCTCTTACCTTATACACACTTGACAAAACAAACAAACAAATAAATAAATAAATAAAAGAACGGGATGCAATATTCAAAACTAATATAAATCCCTTTTGATTATTGAGCATTTGTCCATGCTGTTGTACATATTGAGCATCCACCGCTGGTTTTGCTAAATATGTGCTTTTGCTGATAAAGCAGTAATTGATTTCTGCCTTCCTACAGCCTTAATCAATATCAGAATGTCCTACTAACACGTGGGCAATGCAAAAGCCAATTTACTTGAAAGTTAACCAGTGCCCTCTGCTGTCTAAATACTGCTTTCGGATGCTTTTCTGCTACTTTCCTTAACAGCAGCAGCAAAAACCTATAAATCAAATTAAATTGTTTGCCTCTCCACCAGAATTAGATCTTGGGTTAGCAAATGGCTTTAGTGACATTTTCTCTATTATCTTGCTCTGGAGGAGAACAAGAAAACGGGACCCAAGTGAAGACTGGGATTTTCTGAATGCATTGATTAATGGTGGACCAGCCCACCCTAAAACTAGCTAGTTCCCTTTGCAAGTATGTTTTCTTGTTTCAGCCAGACATTTCTGTTCTATATGTTTTGCAGAGTTTTATGATTGTGTTGAGGAGGCTGATTGATCTGTAGTTGGCAGGATCATCCTTTTCTCCTTTTTTATATATGGGGATAATGATTGCAAGCCCCCAATCCTTGGAGGCTTGGCAATAGGTGAAGAGCAAGACCAAAATTGGGGCCCACAAGTTTAGCCTGTTTTTAATGGTCTCTGGAGGAATTAGATCTTCCCCTGGGGTCTCTTTTATTCTTAGTTGAGCAACAAGATTCTTGCTTTCTGTCTGTACCTGAATGCGCTGTTTGAGTTTGAGAGATCACAAGGGGAAAGATAAAAGGAAGGAATCGAAAAAGTACAAGAGTGTAATAAAAAAAGAAAGAAAATATGGGATGTTGAAAGATGTCAGGCCCCCAAGAACCAAGAATGACAGTTAGTTTTGAGTACCATATTTTTCAGACTATAAGATACACTGGAGTATAAGACCCACCATGATTTTGAAGAGGTAAATTTAAAAACAAAAAAATTTGCCCTCTGCAGGCCTCCCAAACCCTCTGCACACCTCATTTTTTTGCACAAAAGCAGGGGGGGGGGCATGCAGAGGTTTGGGAAGCTTGTAAAATGCTCCTGGGTGCTGCCCCCCCCAAATGAGCAAAAAATGGGCTGTTTTGTGAAAAATGG